TGGTAGAACAAATTATCACCTGCTGCCCTCTGAAATCACACTCCCTGGTGTCCTCTGCTGTCCTATTACAATGTTAAAATATTTACATAGTTGATGAGGTTGAAACAAATGACAGCATGACCCTATACAATGCTGCAGCAGGTGGAAGTCATTTGGAACACAAATGGGGATAGGTCTCACTGCCAGAGATATCAAAAGACTGGTTGTCATTGAATCCAACAGCCTTCACCTAAAATTAATTCCGTTTCAAACTCAATGCTAGTTCTACCCTGCCCCAGCCCTGAACACCTTTTCTTTCCCTGACACACCACTAACTTTTGTCTTCTCTCTCATTCAGGTTGTTCTGGCGACCCACCGGAGGAGCCAGCAGAAGGTGGCCATCAAGTCTGTCATCAAGACCCACGATGATTACGAAATCCAAACAGAGCGGTATGTGCTGGAGATAGCGGCTGGGTGCCCATTTCTTTCCCAGCTCTACGCCTCTTTCCAGACACGCTTCTCCGCCTGTTTCGTGATGGAGTATGTCTGCGGAGGCAATTTGCTTGATTTCCTCACAGACTATTCCCCTCTGGACAATGACACCATCAAGTAAGTCTTATAGTCGCTGAGTTTAGAATAGAAGTAGATGAAAGTAAACTTGAGAAGACATTTAGTCCAAACGAAGCCTTGCTATTTATTACTGTAATACAATCCGGTTGCAAATACAGTAAGAAACATGCTCTTCTTTGTGTTGTTCTTTTATATACTCAGTGCTGCAGGGCCTATAAAAAATTAACCCCTGCAGTGCGGCTACTCCTGCCCTGCAAAGGTTAAGTGCTCGTTTTGGGTGAAAAGTAAAAGATGTACTCACTCGATCCCAGGGGGGACTGCTAATGTAAAAGAACAAGAATCCTGTCCCTGCCTCCTTGTACCCCCCTCCCCCCAGTTATCTTTCTATATGAATCTCATTTATTAAAAATGTAATTTCTCCTAAATCTAAACACTTTCTCTCTTACAGATTCATCGTGGCAGAAACATCTTGTGGTCTGGAGTTCCTTCACGGCCGTGGCATCCTCCATCGGTAATTCTTTTGTATGATAGTTTCATAGACCAAGTACACGGCAG